ATATTGATTAACACTGTGCACAGATGTAAAGACATCAGTATTTCCAGTTTCCTTTTTTCTGCTCTTGGAATGAATCAGGGAACATCAATACAGTACCTGACAACCCTGAATATCTTCCATCATTACAACTGATCATGAAAATGGTAAAAGTCTGTCATCTGCAAATATTATGAATTTGAGGCCAGATTTTTTAAATCAGCATGTGCTGATAAGTAGTCTTAATTCACGAGGTCTGACACATCAAAATCCTCTGAATCATTAAATAAAGAAGTCAAATACAATATAATGTGAGTACTTGACTGTAGGTCACTAGAGATCTGGACATCTGCAAAAAAAGGTATAATAATTATATTCTTAAAATGTTTTAAAAACTCAAAACTGTAAAGATAAATTTCATATAGCAAACTTCTCAAAATGATCTGGTCTCTGAATAAGTCAGTTTTCTTAGCAGGTGACTATACATAACTGCCTAAAGAAAGAGCCTTCAAATTTTCCAGGATACTAAATCAACACACATTTGGGCAAATGTATGGCTTTTTAAAATGTCATTTAACAAGGACCCTGTTCTAGGAGACGTATTCACAATGCCAGGGTTTGTCTTAGGGTTAAACACTTGTAACAGAAGAAAATACGTAGTGGCTCTCAAAATCAGCTAATTACAACTACTCGCTAATCAATACACGTCAATTCAAATGTTTTTGAACACCTGTTATGTGGCCAATGCAGAGTTTAGCACTGGAGATGCCAAGTGGTGAATAAGATCATAAGTCATTTTTTACTATTTGAGTATCATATTTTTTTGAACACTGAACGCTTTAAAAAATACAAGGTGGCAACTCTGAAAACCAGATTCCCTCTCTCTCCTCCTTACTATTGCTGTTTGTTTGTTTAGTGATTTTCTTGGACTAATTCTGTAAAGTCTGTTGTTTTTTTTTTTGTCATGTGCAGCCTTTGAAGTCTCTGCTCAGTTAGTTTAGTGATAACTGAGCTAATAACTGAGTCTCCCACCCTTCACCAAGGGGCTGTGTGTGTGTGCTGGGACATGCCTTCAATGCTTCAACAGTTCACAACTATTTCAGCCTTTACCTACTGCTTGTGCAGAGCCTCAAGGCCAGAGGTGAGAACGAGGGCCACTTCTTCAAGTATTTCCTGGGCCTGCGTGCAGCCCTGCCCATGGGCAGAGTCTTCTCGAGCACTGGGAATATACCAGAGCTTTTCATGAGCCCCCTATGGACATCTCAATTCCCAGGATTTTCTTTTTAAGTTGTTTGGCCAACCTCTTGTTTGCCCCAACTGCTATCACTGACCCAGCCAGTTGTGATGCTGAACAATTGCTGCTGATTGTTTTCAATAGATATCCTAAGAATAAGACTTAACCACCTGGCAATTTTTGAGCCAGGTCAAATAAAGACAAGCCCTATGAATGAGCCTTTACTGGGGAGCTTCCAGACAAGTAAATAGTGACAATTCTCTGGAGCTCGGGCTTTTGGGGAAGCTCCAAACCTGTTCTTCCCCCTCCAATGACTACTAGGCTACTTGTTTAAAGCTACCATGGAGCCAGGGAGAGGGAGTGGGATAGAGCAAGTTAAAACACAACAACATTCTAAGTGAAATAAGTCAATCAGAGAAAGACATGTATCCTATGACCTCACTGATATGAGAAATTCTTAATCTCAGGAAACACACTGAGGGTTGCTGGAGTGGTGGGGGGTGGGAGGGATGGGGTGGCTGGGTATAGACACTGGGGAGGGTATGTGCTATGGTGAGCGCTGTGAATTGTCTAAGACTGATGAATCACAGACCTGTGCCTCTGAAACAAATAATACATTATATGTTTAAAAAAAAAATAGTAGGAAGGGAAAAATGAAAGGGGGGAAAACGGAGGGAGAGACGAACCATGAGAGACTGTGGACTCTGGGAATCAAACTGAGGGTTCTAGAGGGGAGGGGGTGGGGGATGGGTTAGCCTGGGGATGGGTATTAAAGAGGGCACGTCCTGCGTGGAGCACTGGGTGTTATACGCAAACAATGAATCATGGAACACTACATCAGAAACTAATGATGCAATGTATGGTGATTAACATAACAAAATAAAATTTTAAAAAGAAGTATTAGAGAAAAAAAAACACAACAACATTCACTGTTGTTACTATGATTCAGTCCTTTTCCCTGAATATACACTCCAAGGATTACTGCAAGCCTATGGTTAATTTCCAGAGTTCTGAAAAAGTTGAGTTTAATCATTTTTGCGTTTGTTCTCATTGTTTTATGGAGAAGCAGATTTCTAAAGGTCCTTACCCTGCCATTCCAGAAGTGCTTCTTAACATAAACTTGTTTATATACATACTTTGTTATAGAAAAATATGAGAGAATAATCAGTAAGAGACTTTCAAGCAGGACAATACTTGGTCTTAGAATCAAATTCTGGGTAAGAATTGAACAGAAATCAAGAAAAAATGTAAAATTTTTGACTACTATTTTTTAAATAGCTGATAAATGGTTATCAAGTTACTATGATACTGGAATTCTCTTTAAATACGTTTAAATGATGTTTACAATACAATGGAAACGGTATCCTCTGCATTTATTTAAATCTTTAAAAAACTAGGTGTAACAGCATTAAATGTGCAAGAGGAGCTGTGGTTTCAAATTCTATTAGGGGGTCACACAAAGCAAAAACGTTTGACTACCACTTTGAAATCAGCCTTCTGAAAAAAAAAAAAAAATCACACTATGATTACATCATACACACATTCAGGAAACTCAGAAATGCCCAGATTAAAGCCCAAGTCCTCCGAGTATGTTCAAGGAGTTCCACGATTAGGCCCTAGTCTGGTCTTCCCACCTCATCACGCACCAGGCCCAAGAGCGAAGCCTCTGCTTCAGCCACGGTCTCTCGCTGTGGCCGCAGCACACAAAGCCGATTAGAGGGGAACCAGGTGGACACAGACTGAGGAAGGCTAACTGCATCCCCCACTGCCCCCACACCACACCTCAAATTCACTGTGTGTTTGCGTATCATTTCTTGATTAACTGCTAAGTATTTTTTTTTAAGTGAAAACCAGGAAGTTTCCTTAACGTTCTCAAATATTTTGAGACCTTTTCTCTACTACATAAAAAAAGACACTAAGTCTTATACATAAAGGGAATAATACAAAAATATTTTGTCAACTTGTTTTAATTAGGAGCTACAAATAAGCTCACTTAAGCACATCTGTCTTAACCTCCGATTTAGTTTATCCTCCCTTATGTTATTCTAGTAGCTCAGACTGCTCCAAAGTGGGTAGCAAATCTAGTACACGGCGATTACATTCAATTAAACATGTTTTTATGCTTTGAATAGGGTTTAAACACATGCTTTTACTCAGACAAGCCACTTTATACAAATAAACATGGAAGTTTTACATTTAAAAAAAAAAGAGCTCTTCAACTATATTTAACAACTTGGGTTTTTAACATTCTCTCAATATATTGTTTATTCTCTTAGACCTATACTCTTTCCTTACTTTCAATTAAAACCCACAGCCTACCTAGCCTCAAGCTCACACTAAACTGAAAGCTATAGGCTTCTACTGTACCGATTTTTTACTTCTATTCTGGCTTTCACGTTCTGTTATCGGTAAAAAATCTGTATCAATAATGACTATAAAGTAGAAAATGCATTTTTCCTTTTCTAACAGAGGCCACGTCAAGATCCCAAAGGACAGAGACCCAAATATGCCTGGTTTAGGCTGAATATCAAAATGAAGATAATGGTTCCATAGTTTTCCAAAATGTTTCTTAAAAATACCAAAGTTTCACAGAATAGAAATAAGGCAATCTCTTCATATTCTACAAACATTTCCTGAGCACATGGGATCCTTCAGTGATCTGCCCATGGTCATCCAGCTGTAAGTGGCCTTCCCTCTTCCACTCTTACCCCTACCACACACAGATCAATACACGTGCAGAAAGCCAACTTATAAGAGACAGTGACCAATAGGCTTTGTGTAACCAGATCATAATAAGTAGTTCTATAATTTGGAACAGTGTCTTATTCAAAATTATAGCAATACTTACTGGGATCTGATGACCCAAAAGCTTATTCAAAATGTTCAATACTCATATTAACACTCAGACTTACCTTAAAACTAGGTACAAGGAAACCCAAATTAAAGAAGTGCTTAAACCCAATTATGATATGAAGTTTTCCTGACCCCATCTTTGCACTCCTTAAAAACAAAGATAGAGGGGCGCCTGGGTGGCTCAGTCATTAAGCGTCTGCCTTCGGATCAGGTCATGACCTCAGGGTCCTGGGATCGAGCCCCACATTGGGCTCCCTGCTCAGCGGGAAGCCTGCTTCTCCCTCTCCCACTCCCCCTGCTTGTGTTCCCTCTCTCACTGTGTCTCTCTCTGTCAAATAAATAAATAAAATATTAAAAAAAAAAGAGAGAGAGAGAGAGAGGGGCGCCAGGGTGGCTCAGTCGGTTGAGCATCCAACTCCTGATTTCAGCTCAGGTCATGATCTCAGGGTCTGGGATCAAGCCCTGGGTCAGGCTCTGCCCTTGGCGGGGAATCTACTTACGGAGTCTCTCTCCCTCTCCCTTTGCCCCTCCCCCTCACTGACACGTGCTCTAAGATAAATGAATCTTAGAAAAAAAAAAAGACAATGTGATAAATCTACTCTAGCTAACAGAGTTGCTTAACTAAAAAAAAAAAAAAAAGTTATGCGCAAAGGCTTACATTGTCATTAATGAGAATAAAGCAATTTTCCTTGGAAAGAATGTAAAGAAACACACCATTCTTTTTTTTTTTTTTAAAGATTTTATTTATTTATTTGAGAGAGAGAATGAGAGATAGAAAGCACGAGAGGGAAGAGGGTCAGAGGGAGAAGCAGACTCCCTGCTGAGCAGGAAGCCCGATGTGGGACTCGATCCCGGGACTCCAGGATCATGACCTGAGCCGAAGGCAGTCGCTTAACCAACTGAGCCACCCAGGCGCCCAAGAAACACACCATTCTATCTGAACTAGGCAGCAGAAGTAGCACGCAGACATTAAAGAAAAAGCAGCTCAGCCTGTCTTGCCTGAACCCTGTTTGGGTCAACAGACTGGGTCAACATACCAGCTGAGCTTATTTAAGACTAGTCGATCTAAATCACAAAATCACAGCACACCGTAACAAAACTCATTTCCCGACCCTATCCATACCCCAAACTAAACTAAATCCTTATAATCCTTTGTTTTCCATGTGCCTTTTCTGCCCTGTTGAGTTCCGTGAAAAATAAACCTTCTGCTCCCTTGCCTGCCCTTCAAAATAAACCTGGGAAAATGTTGTACAGTGATCCCTCCCAGCCTGGCAGTCACTCTGCTGGGATCCCAAGGAGAAAAGACAAAACCTTTGCCTGGGGGCCACACTGGTCTATTTCTGAAACGCTGCATCAGCAACCAACAAGCAAGTTACAGAATCTGTTGCAACAAGGAAAGACTTGTCAAAGGAGAGAACATGTCTAAGTCTTATACATACCTCAGTAAAAATAAAAACTAGACTCAAGAATCAGTCATGTCTCTATTCTGGTCCAGCAGTTTACCACATATTCACACTCAACACAACCTGCTGTAATATGACTTGTTTTCAAGACAGTATTTCATAAGATTTTCTACTGCTAAGGAAACTCAAAAGTTATAGACCCCCACTGAGATATTAAGCCAGTGATGTCATTTTAACTCGACATTCACTCCTTTTCCATTTACTTCTGTAGAACAAAGATGTAACTTTATAGTATGGTCACTCTCAAAGACTCAAAACTATTCATTTCTAAACTAGAGGGAAAAAAATATATACCATTTATCAAGTTACCAAAAATCTATGGAAATTTCTTTTTGCTATGGGAGAATCTGTCACAGTAGATATAATTCTGTGGAAATATATAAATATATATAAATGTATACAATTATATACTAAATGAATTCTAAATAGTATTTCCAATCTGTCAAGAGAAAAACACTTCCAATTAATTCTTTAAAAATTCTTCCAAGTCATCTTTAGATCACATATCTCATGGAAGATTAAAAAGTAATGAGGAAAACTGATTTAGTCCAAAGTCAAAAGTGTCAAATATGAATATCTCAAGGATGAAGTTTACAAAGTGTTTTTAAATCAACCATATCTCAAGAAAAACACTCATTCAACATATTGATACATCTGCATGCATACATTGATACTTACACATACCAAGCATCATATGCCTATATAAGTTATTTTGATAAAATCCATAATATAGTTTGATATATCCAAAATTTTTCAATGTAATTTAAAAGGCAAAATCTAGGGGCGCCTGGGTGGCTCAGTCACTTAAGCATCTGCCTTCAGCTCAGGCCATGATCTCAGGGTCCTGGGATCGAGTCCCACGTCAGGCCCCTTGCTCAACGGGGAGCCTGCTTCTCCCTCTGCCTGCCACTCTCCGTGCTTGTGCTCTCTCTCTCTGAAAAATAAATGAAATCTTTTAAATAAAGTAAAATAAAAAATGCAAAATCTAAAAGGGAGGTAAGGAAACAAACGAAAGTCGCATGTAAGCATTTCAAATGCTTTTACAGCAACACTTAATTCCCACTTCATAGGACCCCAGAGGCAAGTAAAGAGCAAAAAGCAGAAAGGCCTGAGTGAATCAAGATTCAAACTGAGGCATGATTACAGATCCAGGCGCACACACACATACATCAGGCAGCACAAGAGCCAAAAGCAAGGCTCTGTTAATAAAATGGTTAAAACCATCGTGGAATTTGCTGTTATGATGAAACCTGGGGACAAGATGATTCACAGATCCCAAAAGAACAATCCCCAAGTCAGCTCTCCATACTCTGCTGAACAGAACCCTGCCCATGGCTTCACCGCAGTCCTCCTGGTGGGGTCGGTCAGAAAGCCGCAGCAGAAACTCCTAAGAGCTCCTCCCTCGAGGGGCTGGCCTTGCCCTGAGAACAGCCGGCAAGCACTGCAGATTGTCCTGGAAAACCTACACAGCAGAGCTCCTATACCTGGACGTGGAAAGAAACTCCCCCAATAAGGATTCTGGAAGAATAACATTTGCTGCGAATTCAAGGGGGGAAAGAAAGCCAAGGCCTGGCCTGGGTTCTTCAACATATCAGTGTGTGCGTTCAACTCGGTGGGAAGCAGCCACACTACCACAAAGGTAGCTAAGAACCAAAAATTCACCCAGAAAACACCAAAACCCCCAAATCATGACCCAACGATTAGCTTTTTCAAACATTTGCTGGCAAAGAGTTGGTCACAAACAATATATCACCTTTATTTTCTACAGATAAGAACATTTGGGCTAAGGGGCACCCGGGTGGCTCTGACTCTTGATTTCAGCTTAGGTCATGATCTCGGGGTCTTGAGATCTCTCTCTCTCTCTCTCTCTCTCTCAAATAAATAAATAAATAAATAAAATCTTTAAAAACAAAACAAAACATTTGGGCTGAGAAAAATTCATTGGTCTTGCAAAATGCCAGATCTCAAGTTATGACCTATGTCTGTCAAATCTCACACTCTCTTGGAACAAGCAGGGAGTTTGGAAACCTCTTCCAAGTCACAGCCATTTGAGAAGCACAAGGGTCGACTAGATCATGGGGGTGCAAATAAATTTTGGTTTGACTGAATGCTATCTCTTCATTTTATTAACATACAAATTTAATTTCAATCCAAGTGCCACAAAGATAAAACTGAGAACTTTCTTGTGACTTGGCATTTTAGTGTGTTATCGCAAGGAAGTTATGGGCAGTTTAGCCTTAAGAGGACTGAGTCTGCAGCTTTGTTTTTGTGGGGTTTTTTTAAGATTTTATTTATTTGAGAGAGAGAGCATGAGAGGGGGGAGGGTCAGAGAGAGAAGCAGACTCCCCGCTGAGCAGGAAGCCCGATGCAGGACTCAATCCTGGGACTCCAGGATCATGACCTGAGCCGAAGGCAGTTGCCCAACCAACTGAGCCACCCAGGCGCCCTGTAGCTCTCTTCTTGAGAAGAGGTGATAAGTAGCTAATGTAGCTAGAATAAAAAGTGCAAGGTATTTTAGAAATGTGCAAGACATGACAGGTGTTGAGCACTGCAGCCCTGCTGTCAACTGGACAACAGCGGTCAGGGAAGTGGAGGGTCAGGGAAGGTGGCAGGAACTGCAACCAAGTCTGTGAAAACAGAGCCTCAAAAATTAAATACAAAAAGGCAACAGAACCTCACTACCGTAAGAGCACTGCTGTGCACTGATATCCAAGTGAACACAGTCATTAACCTTATGCCATGCCCACACTGCTTTGCCTGCGAGGACCATCGAACAGGCTCCTTTCCTCAAGCTCCCTACCTTTCTCTTGAGTTCTCTATGTGGATGTTCTGTGATCATACAAAACCGTAACATTTCTAACCAGCAAGCTCATCTGAAATAAGACAAAAGATAAACAAAAGACCAGGGAAAATGTACATCAAAAAAGCATCCTGAATATACAAAAACTCTGTGCAAATCAGTAAGAACACAAACATCCCACTAGTGAAATGAACAAAAAGCACAAAGAGGAAAACACTAAGAATGAGCAGTATACATATAAAGGCACTCACTTACTGACAATCCACCAAATGCAAATAAAAATGACAATAAGATGTAATTGTTCATCTATCTGATGGGTGGAGATGAAAATGATCATCAAAACCCAGGCTGAGGACTGTGAAGAAAGGCGCACCCTATGCAGAGCCAGTGGTCGTGCAAACAGGTAAACCCTCTCTAGAGGGCACTTTGGCACTTCGTCTGGAAGCCTTAAAAACCACATGCCTTGGGCACCTGAGTGGCTCAGGTGGTTAATGGACTGCCTTCAGCTCAGGTCACGATCCTAGGGTGCGGGGGATCAAGTCCCACATCAGGCTCCCTGCTCAGCGGGGAGTCTGCTTCTCCCTCTCCCTCTGCCTGCTGCTCTGCCTATTTGTGCTCTCTCTCAAATAAATAAATAAAATCTTAAAAAAAAAAAAAAAACATATGCCTCGTGACCAGTGATCCCACATCTAGGGCTTTAGCCTACGGTCCATTAAAAACAGGAAGTGTCAGTTGAAATGTTCACAACCTCCACAATTCCAAGACCAGGAAATCCTTCCATCATAATGAGAAGGAATCAAATCAACATGAATGGAAAATGTATGAGCGAAGTGCTTCCTGGGTCAAGTGTTTTGTTTCACAAATTTAATTTCAGTTCAAGTACCCAAATGATAAGCGTAAGGCCTTTTAAAAGTAATTTAAGGGCGCCTGGGTGGCTCAGTTGTTAAGCGTCTGCCTTTGGCTCAGGTCATGATCCCTGGGATTGAGTCCCCGCATCGGGCTCCCTGCTCCGCGGGAAGCCTGCTTCTCCCTCCCCACTCTCCCTGCTTGGGTTCCCTCTCTCGCTGTCTCTCTGTTAAAAAATAAATAAAATATTTTTTTTTAAAAAGTAATTTAAACAGCGCTATTGCTTCCTTGATGTTTTTAAACTGCATTTAAGTCCTCTACTTAAAAACATGTTCCTTATTTATACACACGCACGGGTGTCAGTCAAGATGGGCCCAATATGACACAGGATCAAACTGTGGCATCAGGGTCAGGCACATCTCTGTAACCCAAACATGCCTTTTCTGCAAAAAAGGACTTATCTGGAGCTTAGTGTCCTCATTCTCAAGTGCAGACTGCCGACTGCCGGGTGTCGTATCTGGCTCCTGGAAAGCACTCAATAATGGGCAGTTGTGGTATCATCATTGTTCCAATTGCTGGAAGCAGCTGCTTCTCCTTTCTGTGGATTCTATGGGTTCTGCAGCTCTAACACACCTTGCACCCAGGAATCTTACCCAATTTGCTCTGGAAGCAAGACATCATCTGCACATCTAAAACTAAATGCCTAATATAGCGGCACCATATCTTCACAGGGCTAACAGCACTGCAACATGTAAGCACTGTCCACTGAGAACCGATCTGAAGAGCTCGAAACCACCTGGAGTCGTTCTTGGAGCTGCCCCCTATGTTAGATGTACACATTTTCACCTCTACCAGAGAAGGACACTTCCTATTTCTCGATGCCAGGCTCTCTCCTGGCTTCTGGCAGCACTGTGTGTGTTCAGTAACAACCGTCACCAACCATCCTCAGCTCAGCCTCTCAGATTACAAACTGCACATGCTGCCAATCAAAAATAGCCAAACTCGATTCTATACATTCCCCAGTTTCCACTTCTGCCCAGACACTGAGCTTCGTCAGGCACTGATACGTAACAAGTAATGTGCCATTTTAATAAGAAGTTGTATAATAAGAGAGTTCTACTAAATATTATACTGAAACAACCACATTCAGGAGTGCTCATTTAGAAATCTTAAAGAGTTTTCTGATTCAGTTTCAACATCAGTGTCAAAAGACTCTCCTGAGATGCTTTTATAACTTGAAAGGACATGGATCGGAAGTATCATCAAACTTATGCTTATCCCTAGGGAAAAAGCTACATTTTAAATCTGGCAAATAGCTTCCTTACTTATATGAGCAATTCGATACCCTGCTAACTTCTGCCTAAACTTATCCTTTTTCTCAGTTTTTTAAAGGCATATGCTTTAAGACCATCTATTTCTAATAAATTTCCAACAAAAGAAAAATTAAAAATCCTGAACTATGACACTGTCTTTTGCAATCTGACTACCTGTAATTGCTATTACGGGGGTAATGTGATCTGAACTGCAAAATATTCTGAAGAGATCAAGAATGTGCCACTGCAGCCTGAAAATTATTTTCAGCTGAAGGCATTTGAGTTCCTGAAATCTCTTGTCTGCCTAAAAGCAGAGCCTCTCAAAAGAACTGACCTAAGTCTCCTTGTAGGAGCCATCAGGGAAGACTGACTCCTATCACCAGAGAGAAGTCTCCATACCACACCTAAGCGGACATTGCCGCAAAACCATCCTCTCCCTCATCTATTCTCTAGGAGCCCATTTATCTTTCCAGAAAGTTATTTCTTTTCCTACAGGCGCCCATCTTCCTCTCCCCTTCTCTTATTAAGAAGTCATCAGTTTTCCCGTGTCTTTCTCCCCTCCCTTTCTCCTATATATAAAACCCCCCACTTTGAGTCAAATTCTTTTCCTGTGATTAAATCTGTCTTTTCCCTTATTAATTTATCTTTTGTTGGCTCAATCTGCAGACCCCAATTATTACACGTAAGAGGATGGAGGAAAATCTTTTCCTCCTGACAACTTAAATGTACAGATTACATTATATATATGAGTGTATATGAAAATCGTGCTAACTTTATTAATTGCAGTCAAAGCAATTTTATGATTAACATTTAACACTTCCTCTTTGTCTTCCTCTTTTCTTTAAACTTCCTCTGAATCTTTGTTTCTAACTCTTGTTTTCACATATTATCCTCATAAGTATAATTTAGCAGAAAGAATCTGTTTCCCTTTTCTACTTCTAATAAATCAGGACATATAATAAGTAAGCGTTAGAAACACCACTCTCTGCCATTTTATAAAAATACTCTAGTATAGGGCGCCTGGGTGGCTCGGTTAAGCATCTGCCTTCGGCTCAGGTCATGATCCCAGGGTCCTGGGATCCAGCCCCACATCAGGCTCCCTGCTCAGCGGGGAGCCTGCTTCTCCCTCTCCCTCTGCCCGCCGCTCTGCCTGCTTGTGCTCTCTGTCAAATAAATAAATAAGATCTTAAAAAAAAAAAAAAAACACTCTAGTACAATCGAACTGAAACATCCTGTTGATTAAATAAAGCAAGTTGCTATTTCACCAACCACTGAGAACTGGAAGCTTTCTAAAATATACAGAATTAGGACACACACACATATACACAAAGTTACTTTGTACAAAACAATGAGAGCCAACCACAACCAGAATTTGTTTTAAAACTGACCCAATGATGATAAAAATAGAATGACAAACCAAGAAAATTAATCCAACCTGGCAACAGAGATATATATACACTTTCTATGGAGATATGAAAAATAAACCATAGGAACAGCTCTCCCTCCAGAGAAAACCCTTTCTGCTCAGATGGCCCCAACCACTCCCTTGGCAGTTGGTTCTCTTAAGTTAACCTCAATCAGCTAACCTTCCACGGCTCAGAAAGCACACGGATGCTGGTGCCCACAATGAAAACAGATTCTCCACTAACAGCCGTGGGTACTGTGCCCACTGCTTTACTGAAAAACCATACTCAAGGGTCCATGGCAGGTTGGGCCAGTAATCCTTGACTAGTTATATCAAAAGAGGAGTTGCTAAAATACCATTCTATTGAAATTACAACTTTACCAGCTTGTCAACAACCTATAATGACAAACCAAGCTAAATGAACCTACACCCTTTTGCAGGTGCAGTTGACCATGTATGTGCCTGCTTGCAAACCTCAAGGATGGTCCTCTACTGGCTACAAAACCGTCTGGCCCCACTCCCTTTCCAGCCTCCTGTCCTACCACTGCACCTGAGACCAGTCATAAACTCCTGGCAGCAACCAGAACTTAAGTCTCATTCTCACCTCCCTCTGTTTGAAACATCCTCCCTTTGCTTCAGAGCTAATTTGCTGCTCTTCCTGCAAGACTCAGCTCAAATATCCCCTCCTCCAGGAAACAAATCATTTCCTCCACTGGGCATCCATAGCACATTATCAAGGCTCCTGGTGTTCACACGTCTCTGTCCCAACTTCACCACGAGCCTGTAGGAATGTAGATTCTGATGCGTTCAAGTACAATTCAACATTAAACTTCCAATTATAGAATAGACAATAGGCACATAATAAATGTTTAGTAAATGGATGTGTACACAGATGAACAAAAAAATGAATAAACAAATAAAACATTCGAACTAATGAACTTTCTGGTTGTGGCTGGAGAGAGGGGATATTCATATTAGTATGTTAGTAATATTAAGCCCTGGCTGATCCCCAAAAGAATACCCTGAGCTCCCCACCTCCTGTCAGCTACTCTTCAACTCCACATGTTTATTTCACTTCTCCATATCATAACACAATCCCATCTTTTTTTTTTTTTTTAGGATTTATTTATTTGGTGGGGAGGGGGAGGCAGAGAGAGAGAGGGAGAGAGAAGCTCCAGCAGACTCCTTGCTGAGCACGGGCTCCAACATGGGGCTCAATCTCACGACCCTTAAGATCATGACCTGAGCCAAAACCAACAGTCAGGAGACTTAACTGGCTGAGCCACCCAGGGGTCTCACAATCCCCACCTTTAATCCAAATTTTTATCACCTCAGAAGCTCCAGCTCTTTATTTCTAAGCTCCCCTTGTGTAGTGTGCATGTAATAACCTAACTTGTACTGGTTCCCTGTAGACCATAAGCCCCTTGGGCCCAATTCTGTTCTCCTTGTAATCCCAGCGCCTAGCACGGTGCCTGACAAATAGCAGGCACTCAATACAGGAGATGAATAAATAAATGAAGAAAGGAGGATATAACAATTTCCACATTTTGCTTTTTACTTTTTTTTTTCTGCTAAATCATCTGATTTTTCCAGGTAAACTATAATCAAAGAGAGATGATGAGGGAAGAACAGATCACCTGTAATCAAATCAGTGCTCGAATAATAACCTGTATGAAATCAGTCTTTTCTCATATTAATATTCACAGACCCTTCACCACCATCTTACTGTCTTTTGGTGTCTGTTCTCAATGCAGAATAGTTTAAAAAGTCTTGTAACTGAATAAAGTTGAACAAATCACAAAACTTATAAACCTACTACTGAGAGTGCCCATATCCGCCAGGCCCTGAGCCAAGATCTTTAATACAGTTCTTCTTCATCTTCAAAAACACTCTAAAGGGTTGTGTTTAGAAAATGGAGTCGGAGAAAGGTTACATAACTTGCCCCAAAGTCACTTTGCTAGTAAACTGGGGCACCTAGGTTTGTACCCACACCTATTCAGACCGCATGCTTATTGACTAAAACTTTAAAATTTTTAGGCCTTATTTCTTAGGATCACAATAATGGTGCAGCCAGAATTTCAAAAGCCTGTGTTTTCCTCTTCACTATTACCAACTGCCAAAATACCACTCACCATTAGATATCTTGTTGAATCCTTCTTAGCCACCAAATCACTAAGGAGCACAGAAGTCCCCAAAAGAAATAAATGCAGCTTTGGCAAGTCCCCTTAAGTGCGGTAGCATCCCTTCCAGGCTCTTGATCCTACTGGGGCTCTCTTACTGCTGAGACAGTCGGGGATACCAGCAATTCTCCAGCATGCCTAAAAACAACAAGAACTAGAGACCAGTGAGGCTACGGGGAAAGGACACTCTGACCACAGCGGGGTCAAACTGCTACAACTTTTCTATGAGACAATCTGTCAGCATGTATTAAGTAATTATAAAAAAAAAAAAAAAATGCCTATCCTTTGACACAGCAAGTCCACAGGTAAAAAAAGGAAAAAAAAAAAAAGAATTTACTCAAAGGAATTGGGTAATGCCTACAGATGTATAAATAAGAACCTAAAGGTCAGACAATAGTAGAATGATCAAATTACCCAAGATAAAAACATATGATGGCATGTTATGCAGTCATTAAAATGGTGATGCACCTGTGTATTTACCACTCTGCTAAAATGTCTACAAAATACTGCATATGTATAACAGATTATAAAATTCATTATCCTTTCTGAAAACTGTATACATACTTTTGATAATCTGTAAGAGAAAAAATTAAAAGTGTACAAGAATATACATCAAAATGTTAACAATGGTGATCTAAGTGGCCGGATTATGAGCTTGACTAGAAAGTCAAAGAGAACTTTACCTATCTTCTTTATTTTTTTAAATTCTTCTTCCACAATGGCCATTTTATTACTGCTAAAATAATGAAATAACAAAACATTTAATTTAATTAAATCAATCAATTTAATTAAATTTAATTAAATCAATCCCTTAAAAATGCCAAAGACATCGTGAGCAACAATCAGAACAGATTTTTTTTTTCCCCCTAAAGTTTTCCTTTTGATGCCTTCAAGTTTTTTAAATTGTTCATAGCTAAGCCTGGAGTAAATTCATAGGAGGATTAAGCTGCAAGAGACTTCCCAGTTTTATCTCCTGTTTTCAATTCTCTACGGAATGATATATATTCTTGGACTAACAGGAAATATGACATTGAAGGTTTAGTTTCTAGAATTTAAACTCAGGTCCTCTAACAAGAAAGAACGAGTAAGGACTGTGCACAAAACTCCATTAGCAGAACACAGAATAGTTCTTAAAAGTGCACAAGATGAATCTTTGATGGATGAGGCAATATTTTCTACCAATCCCCATTACAAAAGTGGATTTTAAAAGACAAGGTCCAAAAGTAGCAGATATTTTTAAAGACCTGACAAAATTAACTTCTAATAAGGCAAGAAAATGTCTTCCAAGATGACAATCACACTCAACATACCTCAGACCTGCAATAAGTATTCCTTGATTTGAAAATAAACAGCAGGCAAACACTCTTCATTTTTCTTCTGATGACTATAGATAGAGGGCCTCTCCAGAGGCTCACCAGCTAAGAGATGCCACTCCCCAGGTCATACCCTCTTTCTGGGGGCAGCCCATGTCCAAATGACCAGTCAACAGGGGACAACGAGTTAAAAGGTCCTGCTTCCATGCCTCAAGGTGAGATAACTCTCTGCAGGACCATCCCAGCTCCAGAAGGCCCAGCTGTTAACTGCACAGCAGTTCAGCTCCTCCCCACTCTGTTCAATCCTGCTTCCCTCACTGCCCAGCTAGGGCATTTCTAGTAAAATTCCTACATGTAAAATCTGTTTCAAAGACTATTTCCAGAATCTGCTAAATAACACTTAATAAGCTCATATTATAAGTCAAACACTGTATATGTATATATAATATATAAGTAGTATATCTGTAATATATGATAGATCTTACTGTATATCTATGGGTAGGTGTTATAATCCCATTTTAAATATGCAGAAAACTGAGTCTCAGAGAAGTCAAATGACTTGCCCAAGATCATATGGCAAGTAATTTGAGGAGCCAGGATGGGAATCTACGCCTACCAAATGCACAACCAAATCACTATGTAAACTAGCTCCATTTACTATAAAGTGTTGCTGAACGGATTAAAAGGGAGATTCAGCTACCCAGGGGTTCTGGTGGCAGTCAGGAATGAGTGGAGTGGTGAACCACGGTCATTCATAAAACGGGAATTAATAAAAGGACTTGGGATTCAGGCCTACTGAAAACTAGGTACTATGATCAAGGGTTCATATATTTTCAGGCCTTTGGCGAAAAAGCAGTGGCCTAATGGAAACAGAATTCCAGAATGAAACTGCATAGTTATAATCTACCGCATGATTACTAGATCCTAAAAATAATGATTGGCAAATCTTGTCTACCTACAATCAAAATGCTACAATATGTTCACAGATGTTTACTATGTAGGAATAGGATAGCACTTCACCTTGTACGCCAATTCCTATAAAAAGCTTCATAAACCAGTATCTAAAAATGTACTAATAAACTTGTTAGGAGTACAAAGTCCTTACAATTAATATTCATCTTACTCAACTGCAACCAGTTCAATTCCTTCCCCTACAATCATACCATAGCTTCCCCAGCTTTCCCTAACTAGCAGTCTTCTTTTATAGAATAAGCAGCTATTTATACCTACTGACAAACAGTGAACAGCTAAGAACTCATAGTACCCTTCCTTGATGGCCATAATGCCCAAGAACTACAAGACATAAAACAATTCTATGGGGGCGCCTGGGTGGCTCAGTCGGTTCAGCGACTGCCTTCGGCTCAGGTCATGATCCTGGAGTCCTGGGATCGCGTCCCCCATCGGGCTCCCTGCTCGGTGGGGAGTCTGCCTCTCCCTCTGACCCTCTTCCCTCGTGCTCTCTGTCTCTCATTCTCTCTCTCAAATAAATAAATAAAATCTTTAAAAATAAAAAATAAATAAATAAATAAAACAATTCTATAAACGCCAAACAAGTACAAACTGCAACTATTAACTTCACGAAATTGGCATGCCTGCAGATGTAGATCACAACCGAGTTGCACAGTGAGAACCCTTTAAAATTTTAAGAGAATTCTGATCTATTACATCCTCAGAATTATTTTATTTGTAATATTCATAACATCAAAATCTAAAGTCACAGTTAAGTAAAAAAAAAATTGAAATATACTTAGAAATACTATACTAGGGATGGCTCAGTCAGTTAGGCAGTTAAGCATCTGCCCAGGTCATGATCTTGGGGTCCTGGGATCAAATCCTGTGTTGTCAGGCTCCCTGCTCAGCGGGGAGTCTGCTTCTCCCTCTCCCTCTGACCCCCCCACCCTGCTCATGCTCTCTCTCAAGTAAATAATCTTTAAAAAACTGGGGTGCCTGGGTGGCTCAGTCCGTTAAGCGTCTGTCTTCGGCTCAGGTCATGATCCCAGAGTCCTGGGATCAAGCCCCGCATCGGGCTCCCTGCTCTGTGGGGAACCTGCTTCTCCCTCTGCCTGCTGCTCTCCTTGCTTGTGCTCTGTCAAATAAATAAATAAAATCTTAAAAAAAAAAAAAAGATAGGACTCCCTGCTCAGCTGGGGGGAGGGGGTTCTGCTTCTCCCTCTGCTGCTGTTCTCCCTGCTCATTCTCTTACTCTAATACATAAATCTTTTTTAAAAAAAAAAAAAGAAAGAAATACTATACTAGTCCAACTGATGTCATTCTAAAAGTCAAAAATAATTGGGCCTTATCAGTTGATTCTTGAGAGTTTGCATATCTGTTGCCCCTTCCTTTAAAATTCACCCATGTCATCTCTCCCACCCCAACATTATAAAGTACAGCTTTAAATGGCCAAAAAAAAAAAAGGGCATTTATAATTTCCTTACTTATCAATTTTGCACACTGTAAGCCTTAGCATCCATGTTCGGTTATCAATTGCAGTGCGAAGTTCTTCAAATTAAGGTGGAGCATTCACTGAGACTTCATACCATGTCAGAACCAAATGCAGCATCATAAAATACAGTTCACTGATCAAAGTTTGTACCTTCTCTAACCCTGACTATGGCAATGGTTGGCCCATTTCTTCACCCTTTTCCCCATTCATTTCATAAAACAAGCTCCAAATCAGAAATGCACAGCTTCACACAGACATATACAGAACTGTTAAATATACCTGAGCTTGCCATTTCAGAGGAAAGTAATAACAGGGACACCATAACCAGCTTGAAGTTTACAAAGGAGGAGGTATCACCAGCCTAAGAAAAAAATTTCTTCACGCCACCTTAAAGTGGTCTAATTTTTTAAACTTTTTTTTATTTATATTCAATTAATTAGCAGAGAGTGCATTATTAGTTTCAGAGATCAGTGAAAGTAATCTAATCTTTTGAAGAAAAAGGAAACAGACAACTTGAAGCTTCCAGACAGACAGACAGACACACACACACACACACACACACACACACACACACACACACACACA